ATCTCACTAAATTCAGTTTCTTTGGTTACAGAGAATAATATTTTCAAACTTTGTTAATATGTCCATTCTTATTAAAAGGATGACCACATTGACAGTCTTCCTGCATTTCTGGACAGAATGAAGCATGCAGGTAGGAACTCTAAACCCAGGAGAGCATCAGAACTGAAGATTTCATGTTATTAAATGTAGAGTTGCATGATTAACCAGAAGCCCTATGGCTGGCCCTGAGAAAAAAGTACCAAGAAAATGCTACGTCGAAAAAAGTGCCCAACCTTTTTGGCAACAGGAACTGGTTTCGTGGAAGACAATTTTTCCACAGACTGGGGGAATGGGGGGGATGTGCAGTCTAACCTTACAGCTAATGTTAATCTGTATTTGCAGCCGCTCCCTAGCGCTAGCATCACTGCCTCAACTCCATCTCAGATCAATTAGATTCTCATAAGTAGTACTCAGTCTAGATCCCTCTCATGCACAGTTCACATTAGGGCGAACGCTTCTATGAGGATCTAATGCCACCACTAATCTGACAGGAGACAGTTCACAAGTGGTGATGCAAGCTATGGAGAGCAGCTGTAAGTATAGATGACATTTGCCCGCTTGCCTGCTACTCACCTTTTGCTGTGTAACCCAGTTCCCCACAGGCCACAGGCCAGTATGGGTTAGTGGCCAGGGGGTAGGGGACTCCTTGTCCAAACAGAATGAATCTTCTTGAGGCTCCATCTTTCCCAGCTTCTCCTACAGGTCTTCACAAGGTTTTGTATAAGGTCATTCATCCGAGATTGCAGACTTTTCTAACAGGTAGTGCTCATTTCAGAGGGAGAAGCTGCAGGAGGATTGTTTCTTAGTGAGTCATTTTCTTATGACATTGGGCTTCTGAAATGAACCTCAAGCTGTGCAAAGCACTTGAATCACTGAATGGGCATTTTGCTTAAAACTGGACATTTCAAAACAACCTGAAAAAGACTGTCTAGGGAGGCTGACATTTGGGTTTAGGAGGGTAGCGTTCAAGGCAAAGAAAACAGCATGAGAAGACGGTTCAGAAAACAGGAAGTAGAAAGCTAGGACTGGAATGCAGGAACCGTGATCACAGAGGAAACAAAAATGTGGGACCAGCAGGACTGAAAAAGGATTCGCTAGGGAAAGCCTAAAAGGATGGAATGTCAAAAATATTCTCACCTTGGAATACATGAAAAACATTTTTACACTTTCTAGCATTCAAATAAAAAATTAAAATAATAGGCGCTTTTTTTTTTTTTTTTTTTGCTTTTTAAATTGACAAGGATTCTAAAATGTATAATACTCAATAAGGTCAGGCACAGTGGTTCATGCCTGTATTCCCAGCACTTTAGGAGGCTGAGGCTACAGGATTGCTTGAGCCCAGGAGTTCAAGACCAGCCTGCGCAACATGGTGAGACCTTGTCTCTACAAAAAAATTTTAAAATTAACTGGGTGTGGTGGCACACACCTGTAGTTCTAACTACTCAGGAGGCTGAGGAAGGAAAATTGTCTGAGACCAGGAAGATGAAGCTGTAGTAAGTTGTGATCATGCCACTGTACTCCAACCTAGGCAACAGTGAGACACCAACTCAAAAAAAAAAAATTATAGGCCTGGTGTGGTGGCTCAAGCCTATAATCCCAGCATTTTGGGAGACTGAGGTGAGAGGATTGCCTGAGCCCAGGGGTTCGAGACCAGCCTGGGCAACTTGGTGAGACCTCTTCTGTACAATATATAAAAAAATTAGCCAAGTGTTGTAGCACTTGCCTGTAGACCCAGCTACTTGGAAAGCTGAAGGGAAGAATCACCTGAGTCCAGCAGGTTGACACTGGGGTGGCCATGAGCGTGCCACTGCACTCTAGCCTAGGCAACAAAGTGAGACTCCAACTCCAAACAAACAAACAAAAATTATGATATTCAATATTGACAAGGGTTTATGTCAACAGTTGTTCCCATAGGCTGTTGTAAGGGTGTAAATTGTGACAAATTTTCTGTATGGCAATCTGACAGTCACATCAAAAGCTTTCTATACATATGTAGTATATATATACATCTGTATATTTGCATCCATACATATATATGTGTATTAGTCCATTTTGCATTGCCATAAAGGAATACCTGAGGATGGGTAATTTACAAAGAAAAGAGGTGTGCTGGAGGTGAAGGCTCAAACCTGTAATCCCAGCATTTTGGGAGGCTGAGGCGAGAGGATTGCCTGAGCCCGGGAGTTTGAGACCAGCCTGGGCAACTTGGTGAGACCTTGTCTCTACAATAAATAAAAAAACCAACCAGGCATGGTAGCGCGCACCTGTAGTTCCAGTTACTTGGAAGGCTGAGGCAGAAGGATCGCCTGAGCCCAGCAGGTTGAGGCCATGGTGGCCATAAACATGCCACTGCACTTCAGCCTGGACAACAGAGAGAGACTCTAACTCAAAAAAAAAGAAAAAGAAAAGAGGTGTATTTGTCTCATGGTCTACATGGTACTGGCATCTGCTCAGTTTCTGATAAGGCCTCAAAAAGCTTTTACTCATGGCAGGAGGCAAAGGGAAGCAGGCATATCACATGGTAAGAGTGGTAGCAAGACAGAGAGGGAGATTCTAGACTCCTTTAAGCAATAGCTCTCATGAGAACTAATAGAGTAAGAACTCATGTGTTACCACCAGAATGGCACCAAGCCATTCATGAGGGATCTGCCCCCATGACCCAATCCCCTCCTACTAGGCCCCACCTTCAATACAGGGGATCACATTTCAGCATGAGATTTGGAGGATTCAACAATCCAGACTATGTCAACATGTATGTCTATATATATACTTTGTGTATACACCTGTATGTTTATACACATTGATGCTCATATACAGTCTCAGGTCCATTATTTCCACTCTATTTAATATATCCTAGGGAGTAATCAAGGATATGCACAAAGATACAGCAAAAATATTTATAATAGGAAAATATTAGGTCAAGCACAGTGGCTCACACCTATAATCCCAGCACTTTGGAAGGCCAAGAATCATTTGAGCCCAGGAGCTTGAGACCAGACTAAGGAACATAGCAAGATTTCATCTCTACAATAAACAAGATAAGAAAAGTAGCCAGGCATGGTGGTGCACACCTGTTGTCCCAGCTACGAGGGAGGCTGAAGTGGAAGGATTGCCTGAGCCCAGGAGGACAAGGTTGCAATGAGCCTTGGTTGTGCCACTGCACTCCAGCCTGGGCCACAGAGTGAGACTTTGACTCAAAAAGAAAAAAAAAAATTATAAATGAAGTACACATCAACCAATAGAGAATTCCTTAAATAAATTCTTGTTCCTGCATTCAGAGGAATACTATGCAGTGATGAAAAATACTAATATAGGAAAGAAGCTTACTTGCTTTCCTCCCAACACTCTGGGTGTATATATACAGAGAGTGCCCAAAAAAATGCATACACATTTTAAGAAAGGAAAAACCTGTATTAAAATTGTAATACTCAATATATATTGATAACAAAAGATGAATACCAGTCACATTTGACTTCTGCAATTACAAAAGGTGTTCAAAGTGGTTCTCATCAGCATCCAGATACTTCTGATTATTGTGAGCTCCTGCAGGACTTGCTGTGCGTGACCTCCCGGATTTTCCCTTGTGCATATCACACACAGGACCAGGCGACTCACACTTATCACGAATGCATGCAATTGTTAGAAGTGTTGGAGTATCTGTTGCCTACTTGTGTCTCCATCAGTTGTTGTATATCCACAACATTTGCAAATTTCAGATACCACTTCAAAATGGCTTGTGATCCTCCAATGACAATTGTGCTTCCTCCATTTTCTTTGACTGGCCTGCCTGTTACATAGTGATGCTAGTATTCATTTGATTAGCACCGTCTTTTGAGCAAATGTCATAATACACATTGCTAACATAATTCACCATTGAAAAGTAGAACATAGATAATACCTCTTAAAATGTGTATTTTTTGGCACCCCCAATATATACTCTGATCTGTATCAGAGCTCCCCACAACAGTGACTGGGGTAATGGAGGAAGGTCTCTCTCTTTTTTTTTTTTTTTTTTAGTCGGAGTCTCACTCTGTCGCCCAGACTGGAGTGCAGTGTCCGCTCCCGGCCACTGCAGCCTCGACCTCCTGGGCTCCGGCGATCCTTCCGCCTCAGCCTTCCGAGTAGCCGGAATTACAGGCGCGCACTACCACGCCCAGTTAATTTTTTGATTTATTGTAGAGATGAGGTCTCGCCTGCCCAGGCGGGTCTCAAACCCGCGAGCTCAGGCAATTCACTCACCTCAGCCTCCCAAAGGCGTGAGATTACAGGCTGAGCCACCGAGCCTGGCTGGAAGGTCTCTCTCTTGAGGGGCACGGCCAAATCTCCATAGAGGAGAAGCGCAGATTTGCTTTGTAGGAGCCATCCAGTAATCCCAATGTCCTTCACTAGGTTAAAAATCACTGATTTAACACGCATTTATTGGTTCAGAAATATGTTTAGGATATATTGTTTGAAACAAGCAAACAGTATCATATTGTTTTTGAAAATTATTTATATGTAAAGAAAAGTATGGAAGAACGTACAGGAAGCTACTAACTTTTTCTCTGGGTGGTGGTGGTATAGGCGGTATTTTTCTTCATTTTGCCTGTCTGGATTTTCTACTTATTTTTTAAAAATAATGAGTACGTATTAACTGTGTGACCTTTTAGAAAAAAGTTTCTAAGCAAGAATGGCCCCCAAAAAGGTTAAAAAATTAAAATATGCAAAGAAAATGATAGTTGTTTCATCTTATTTCCCACTAACTATTAAATTCTATGATTTCCAAAAAAATGACAAATATTAGTAGCAAACAAATATTTGTTAAAATTTCATGCACTCTTATATTTTAAGGAATTGAACTTTGTATTTTCTCTCTCTAAAGCATAAGAGCCATTCAACAAATTGAGGGCTCTTACATAATATGTGATGATGGAAATTATTGATTCTACCAGTGATCGACTTTAACCTTTTTTTTAACTTAGATTGAATTTAATCATTTCCTGACAAAAGAATGCAATTTCAACTGACCCTTCTTTTGCACTTTGGTGAGTACTTGTCAAAATCCATTTTCTGCTTGTGTTGAATTGTCTTAAAATATTTAGTAGAAAATAGTTTTAAAACATATCCACTTCTTTCTTCTATACTGCTATATAGCTATTCTGTTGTGTAATTGTGTCAAGCAACCGAGAAATTCCACTCAAACGTGTTTGGTGTCCACACATAGCTATTTCTGTCACTCTTTAATGGAATTGTTTCATCAGCAAATAACTAAGTCAAGTAAGATACTAAAAAATGGAGAATAGTTTCAGATTCTTAACTTAAGAATACAATGCATTTAATTTTAAAATTATCTCAGCTTTGAACATAATGCTTATCCCAGTAATGAGGGCATGTGAAGAATTTATCGGCAAAATGCTCTCTTCTGAGTAAACAACAGCCTAAGCTTAAAGGCAATTCTCCATGCTTCTGCTGTCTTTAATAAGCTGAGTATAATTTGCATTAATCATGGGAAAGACGTTTCCAACAATTACTCCCTTTGATCTGACTTTTCTAGATCTAAAACAGCCCTGCCTTTTGTTACTGAGTACTAACTACATTGCTTAAAATCTTCTCTTCAAAGATTTGTGCTGAATTTCTTCACGGCAGCAAACTTTCAGAATCTTGCCTTTTAATTTTTGCCATACTCTATCCCTGAGGTAACTTCCCAGTCAGATTTGCTGGTAATGTAGGAAAGAACAGCTCCAGATGGTAAACGCTCATTTGTTCTGCATTGAAAATCCCTTGCTCTGAGAGGTGAGTCACAGGCTCGTGGCCTCACAGAGACTCAGGATCCATCTGGAGCCCCTAGTTTATGCTCCACCTCCCAAGACTGTGAGGCTTAGATCTGGTTTCAGATGGAAAAGAACTGCTTTTATCTACATCTGCTTTGGATGTTTTCTTCTAAACTAAACCAATATCCAAAATCAGATCATTCCACCTTCTCCCCAGCCTCTGTGTAGAATACCTTACTCACCCCTTGCAAATTTCTAAGCTACTCTACAGTTGCTGGGAGAGCCCTTCTCAATTAGGGTACCCCTCTTTGGAGGGAAAAATCTTCTAGATCTTCTGCCCGTGCTGAAAAGGCTTCATTGCCATTAACCCTGGATTTTTAAACCTAAGTTTGCCCTGACATAAACCAACTCTCTAAGGTTGCCTATGGTTAAACTCCCAACCAGGTTAACCACACATCATCAGGCTGGGCATTTTCTTGTTGGCATTTTGAACATAGACATTTATGTAAATACACTTAGTTTTGCATTCTGTCTGAGGAAGATAAGGAGAACAAATCATAAAAATTGCATTGGATCATAAGTTTTGGGAACTTAATACAAAGTACAAACCTTATCTAATATGCATTCTTTGTAATTTTTTTCACCCATAATAACTAAATCAGTGTGAGAACATAAAAGTAATGTGTGCTTGCATTCTCTTAAGTTCTAATGTGACCTCTAAAGTATGCGAAAACATCTCGTGTTTAAGAAAATTATAACAACATGCAAAATTACCAAATGGAGAAATATTATAATAATTTCTACAAAAGTTTCTTTACAGAAAATTTACTGCACATTTCCTTGAAATAACTAGATTTTCTAAATTCATTTTTAATAACATTATATCTTCAGGTTATATGTCATTTTTGAGAAATGCATTAATTGTCAAAAGATATAAACATTTTTATTATCTGAATCAATTCCAAACTATTGCTAATGTAACTTGACAGGTGAAAACTTCAGCCCAGGAAGGATATTGCTAAATCTATGTTCAGGCATGAAACTTTAGCTATGTATGTTTCCAGTAACTTTTTGTCAAGTATTTTAGATAAGACGTTTGTATTTGTACTTCTTACAGGAATCGTAGTTCAATATCCACGAATCCAGGGATATTTCTTCTGAAAAGTGCACATCTGATCAAAACAAGTTTGGCCAAGTCAGGTTGTAAAAACATGTTAAATCTGTAAGGCAACAATTCCAATAACAGAATTCAGGATGGAACTTGTCTAAAAGAATAAATCCTTGGAAGGGAAGTCTTAGTTAATCCACGTGTAGCATCAGCAGAAATGTGTTTGGTTTTTTGTTTCTAAAAAACAAAAAAATTTGCCTATTGGAGTTCTGAGTAGTTATTTATCCCCAATGCCAATCCTAGAAGATAAAAGGACACGTGAATTTGGTTTGCTGAGTGAATAAAAGAAACATCTATGTTAACTAATCTAGATCATTTCTTATACCCAACAAAAACCAAGCATTTGATGTGTATGATAGAGCTAACTTTCTTCACATATTTATCTTAAAGAAATAGAAGATTTAGAACAATGACCTTTACAACAAAGTTGAGAATAGAAAATTTCCTGTTCAAACTGCCATTTAGTAATTTGTGGAAGTGTAGACATTATGTATTGGCTGTAGAATTTATAATCTATGTATGTCTCAAGCCTGATAATAATCACAAAATGGCCAGATTAACAGAATAGTTCATGTGAATAATGTGTACAGAGGAGAATGAACATGACTTTTCCATAGTCATATAGGCTATTTTGGAGGTCAAAGTGAAGGAAAGAAATCCACTAAATGTAAAACAAGTCCATGAAAAAAAATATTTATTTATATTGTTATACTTGAGAAAACTGAGGAGAAACCAAGCCTTTTTCACAGTATGGTAATTATTTTTTATTATAAACCTATCCTTCTCACTCCTGTCTACTGAATTAAGGGCTTGGCATAAATTTTCATGTCTCAAGGGTCACAAGCAGGCAGAAAATGTCATGTGTATGTTTTTGTAGTATGGGATATGCTTGGTTCACCATCCAGAGGCTGATGGAGTGATTCTGTGGAGAGAGAAATATTTTAAGATAATTGTAGGCCCACATGCGCTTATAAGAAATAATACAGAGAAAGACCATATACCCTTCAACTAATCTCCCTTAATGGTAACATCTTGCATAAATACAGAGCAATAGCATAGCCAGGAAATCAACATTGATAAAATTCACTGACCTTATTCAGATTTCACCATTTATACATGTACTTCTATGAGGGTGTATTTAATTCTATGCAATGTTAATGTGACCATCATCACAGACAAGATAAAAAATAGTTTCATCACTTCAAGGGTTGGTCGTAGTACCTTTCATAGTCACATCCACCTCCTTCCTTCCCTGCTTTCCTAACCCCTTGACAACCACTAATCTGTTCCCTACCTCTATGATTTTGGCATTCAAGAATATGACATAAATGGAATTATATGTATATAACCTTTTTTCCACTGAGCATAATTCCTTTGCAATCCATCCAAGTTGTTGCAAGTATCAATGTTTCACTCCTTTTTATTGCTAAGTATTATTCCATGGTATAGATGTACCATACTGTGTTTAATCCTTTACCAAACAATAGACATCTAGGTTGTTTTCAGCTTTTGACTATTACAAATAAAGATGCCATGGACATTTGGTATGCACACTTTTGTGTCAACATAAGCTGCAATTTCTCTGAGATAAACATGGAAGGGTTCAATTGCTGGATTATGTGATAAACACATGCTTAGTTTTATCAGAAACTACCATACTCTTCCCCAGAGGACCTGTACCATTTTACATTCCCACCAGCAAGTATGAGGAGCTAATTTTTCCACATCCTCCTTAGCATCTGGTGTTATCACTATTCTTTATCTTAACCATTCTGACAGATGTGTGGTGATATCGCATTGTGATTTGCTTTGTATTTCCCTAGAGGTTCATGATGTTGAACCTCTTCATGTGCTTATTTGCTATCTGTTTATCTTCTTCAGTGAAGTGTCTGTTCGTGTTGCTTGCCATTTGCTCATTTGATTGATTTTTTTAGTGTTGAGTGTTGAGAGCTCTTATTATTATATTCTAAATACAGGCACTTTGTTGGAAATGTGATTTGCAATTATATTCTCCCATTCTGTAGCTTGCCTTTTTACCTCTTCACAAGGTCTTTCTCAGAGCAAAAGTTTTTAGTTTTTGTAAGATCCAATTTTCCAATTTCTCCTTTTATGGATCACATGTCTGTTGTCAATTCTAAAAATTATGTGCCTAATCCTAAGTCCTAAAGATTTTTTCCTATGCTCTATAGGCATTTGTAGCTTTATAGTTTCAAGTTTTACACTTAAGTCCATAATCCATTTTGAGTTATTATTAATATATGACATGAGGGTTTGGTTGCATATGTTTTTGTTTGTTTGCTTGCTTGTTTGTTTGCCTATGGATGTACAATTTTTCCAGCACCAAATTACTGTAAAGCCATCCTTCCTCCACTGAAAGCCTTCGTACCTCAAAAATGAATTGGGCATATTTCTGTGGGTCTATTTCTGGCTTCTCTGTTCTATTTCGTTCATCTACGTGTCTATTCTTCTGCCAAGATCACACTCTCTTGTTTATTGTAGCAATACAGTTAAGTTTCATATTGGGTAAAGCTAGTCTTTCTTTTTCAAAATGTCTTAGCTATTCTGGGACCTGTGCTCTTCCATCCAGAAGCCATTATTTCTACAAAATTACCACATCTATAACTTGAATTGCAGTTAAGAGAAAACTAGGGCCTAGATATGGCTTCCAGAATCAACTGGGATTCTAATCCTTTAATTGAATTAGCAATGAAACTATACTGTTCTGTTCAAATATACTTTTTTTAAAAAAAGAAATACAACTTCTTCTATAGATAGTTATCCACAAACTATTACAGGAGGCTCTCTTGTACATGCATTTCACTTTATATGTAAGTTAACTTTAGTCCTTAACTCCCTGTAAGATTCCATTTTGTTTTATTCAATCTTCCTAACAATTAACAAACCTATTAATACATTATTGCTCACCAAAGCGTAATACATAATGTGATGGAACAAATCCTGCAGTTAATAAATAGTTCAGATTACCTTACTCACCTCACATGCACATATAGACATTTAACAGTTAACAAAATTATTTTGAATGCTCGCTCCTTTATACATAGATTCTAACTCAGTGGTTCTCAAACATTATGTTAGAATGTGTGTACAAAAAACCATGTATGCTCTGGCCTTGTTCTGCTGTAAGATTTGTCATCACTTGGATGACCTAGGAATTTTCTAGTCCCACACCTCAAATCAGTTGGAGTCTTATAACACCTCTACCTACTATAAGCCTAGGCACAAACTGCTCTGGCAGTTAAATGGAGTTTATGAGGAAGGAACCAAAAAAAACCCAGAATTTATTTATAAAAATTGTATATTATTCTGTGCGTATGAACTTCAGTCATCTTCAAAGTACTCTCCGTTTGATGCAGTACACCTATAGAGATGCTTTTTCCACAGCTTAAAACAGTTATTGAACTCATCAATTTTGATGCCTTTTAATACTTCTGCCATTTTTTGTTTCACCTCTTCCACACTGCCAAAAAGTTTCCTCTGAGGACTTTTTTCATCCAGAGAAACAAAAACAGTTGCTCGGGGCGAGATCAAGTGACTAGGAAGGTTGGGGGTCATGCCTTCTTTGGTCAAAAACTGCTGAACACTGAGCACAATGCAGGTAGGTGCATTTTCATAGTGGAAGGACCAGTCACCTATTTACCACAACTCAGGATATTTCTTCTGTAAAACGTGATGCAACCTTCCCAAAACTTCCAGATAAAAACTTTGATTGACCATTTGATCTGGAGGAACAAATTCCAAGTGTACTACAAAGGACCTGCCCTCCAAAAAAAAAAAGAAAGAAAGAAAAGAAAAATAATAATTCCAGGGTGTTTGGGGTCCCCTTTGTATATATGCAGTCAGCAGGAGTCATGGGCGGAGAAAGAATTCACCCAAGTCTGATCAGAGAAGGACAGGTTTATTGAGTGCACTGCAAGGGAGCTGTAAGCAGGGCAGCAATAGAAGAGCTGTCTGCTCCTAATTGCAGTTTGCTGTTGCTTTTATATGGGAACTGGCCTCTTTCTGGTTCCTGCCATGCAACTGAGAGATTGAAACATGGCAGTTCCGATTGGTTGATATTCGACTTTAATTGTAGGCCACTCATTGATCAGTTGGAGGTTAACACAAGGTGGCTCTTATCATATAAAATGGCTTCCATTCACTTTATGAAATTTTCCATTTTGTATTCAAATCAGTTCAACCTTTGTGCAATACTAGGAAAACACTTTGGGAAATGATAAACTAAATTTCATTTAATTGTCTTGCAATCTTAACAACCCTATGATTCTGGAAGTGGGGGATCAACATGTCTCACTTAGAGAATAGATTACAGTTAAATCTCAGGAATTGATTTAAATTGTAAATCATATGTAATCAAATTATTCTGGACAGTTCCATCAGACTGAGAGCACAACAGCATCCACAACCAAGATCTTACAGATCAACAGAACCGGTATTCAAAATAAACAAACTGTTAACTTTCCAACTTAACCAGTTGTTTCTTCAGGCCTTAAGCTACTCTTAGACTGGCTTCTGTGTAGCTGTTTCTGTTACGTTCAAGGGTGGCTCAGTTACTCGAAAGCTCAAGATGACTGCAACAGGGGTGCCTGTCAACCCTCCACCGGTGATCTCTTGGTAGGCCGCAACACACAGCTTACAGCTTCTTCTACCTGCGGGCTGAACAGAGCTCAGAAATACTGCATCCTCGGTTACCTAGAGGTGGGTCTGCTCTTTATTTACTTGCTAGGACATTATTTAATCAATGATGTATATTTTTTCAAAGTATATCTAGAGCAACTCAGACAACATCAAAGGAGACAAACACTCCTTCCTGAACAACAGAGACACAGGCACAATTGTACCTTGGTATCCAAGGGAAATTGATGCCATCACCCTCCCCCATACAAAATTCCATGGATGCTCAAATTCCTGATCTAAAGTGGCATAGTATTTACACATAACCTCCCTTTAAATCATCTCTAGATTACTTCTAATACCTAATACAATGGATGTTAGGTAGATAGTTGTTATACTGCATTTTAAAAATTGTATTATTTTTAATTGTTGCATTGTTATGTATCAAGTGCAGTGGTGTGATCATAGCTCACTGCAGTCTCGAACTCTTGGGCTCAAGGGATCCTCCCTCCTCAGCTTCCCGAGTAGCTAGGACTACAGACATGAGCGACACCCCCGGTCTGGTTTTTTCAATAATTGTTGTTTTTTCCTGAATATTTTCAATCCTTGTCTGGTTGAATCCACAGATACAGAACCCACAGATATAGAGGACCAATTATAATATAATTCAAAGTCCAGGAAACCTTGACTAATCAAAAAATAGGAAAGATCTGCTAAATTTCCATTTCTTGTTACCTTCTGAAATGACAGAAAGGCCTTTTTTGGATCATCTTTGAAGATAATTGCTATAAAATCTACTGGTCTACTTAGCTGCCTTTGTCACTCCCAAAGAGCAAATATAATTGACTCATTCAGTAACCAAAGATCCCTCGGGCCTTCCAGGCCATTATGCTGAACACGAGTCCTCATTGTTCTGCTGTAGACAGAGGTAGCATGGATGTGGAATTCTGAAGTAATTGTACAACAGCCTCATAACATCGCTTGGAATTTGATTGTCTAAAACCCTTAAATTCCCAACGTTTTTGTGCCTTTTCTCCTTAAAGACCAGTTTAATAAAGGACTGGTGGCTTTTCAGGAGTTGTTTTCCCCTCCCAGTGTACTGGCAGCAGAACAGGCATCCAAGGTCATCGGAGTATCATACCTACAGAAAATCCCAAGGCAATCACGTCCGCCCCTTAAATGAGAGGATGTGCAGGAAGGAAGTTGGACATAAGCCTAATGTTAGTGACCCAAGCTTTTCCATGTATTGTTCATTTAAGGCAACTTGTTTAGGTGTCTGGGAAGTGCTTTGTATTCCAATTAGTTTCTAGCAAAAGGTGATGATTATAAATAAGTGGAGACAATACTTGGGTGCTTAGCACTGTTCTAAGTTTGGGAAGCACTTGTGTAAGAAAGCAAATTCTCTAAACTGCAAGGAAATTACAGGGTGGAAGTTCTGGCCAATTCTAGGCCAGGTGGTATGTATGACACTCTAAATGATTTTACTAAATCCAGGACCACTGGAGAAAGAAGTGGTTCTCAACTCTAACATTAGAAACTTTCCAACACTAACATCACCCATTTGTTCTTCTACCATTGGCATTTGCTTACTGTTGTCATAAGCCAACATTCTCTGACAAGAATTGGAAATTGGTGTTTCTATATCTCAAAGTTCAGCTAGCAAAAACTGGAATAAATCCAACTGCAGAGGCTTCTTTTGTCTAGAGAATGACAGAGATCTTAGAAAGCTTAAAGCTGAAAAAAAAAAAAAAACCTTAAAAATATTTCAAGTTGACAAACTATCATGGGTGACACTACAACCACTAGTCTAGACAAACATTTGTGCTGCGAGGATGATTTTTTTTTTCATCCATTATCTGAGGAAGAGCTACCAAACAAAATATTTTCCTCCGAAGCTTCCAATCAACATTGACTTTTTGTGTGCCCACACTGGAATTCTCACATCTAGTAGCTACAACTAAGGTATCCCTGGGGACATCCAAAGCAGACTACACTTCTAAAATGTTTACAGGAAAAAAAAAAGAAAGAAAGTGAGTATTATAAGGTAACCTTAAAACAATAAAAATAAAATGTTTACAGATAAGTTGCCCACAAGCTCGGAAGTTAACATTTTTCCCAGTAATTCCCATAGTATTATTGAAAATACTTTGAAGACTTGACATTTTTCGAGGCCTCCTTATTTAGGGCAAATCTGGGACTAGCCAACACCTGTGTGGAATTGATCCAACATCCATTTTGCCCTAATTTTCAAAGAGCATTTTGGTTTTCTTCAACAATCAGGCTTATGGTAGCCAGTGATTCTAAAATGCACTGGTTATGTGAATATATTAAAGGTCTGGTTTACTTTGATAGGCTCTGACTGAAAAAATCATTAAAATCATCATGCATTCAGTCAACAAATTTCACTGAACATCTATTATGTGCCAGGCACTATTCTAGGTAATGGGGATACAGCAGTATACAAAACCAAGTCCTTGTCCTTATTCAGCTTTAATTTTAATTATAGATACAGACAATAAGCCAACAACTATGTAACATAGTCTCAGATAATGATAAAGGTTTAGAAAATTTATAAAATAGGACAAAGGATAGAGAGTAGCAGAATGCCATGGTTTGGGGAGATGGTACACTTTAGATAGAAGGAAGGTCTCTTTGAGATGAAGGTGTTTAAGCAGAGACCTGAAAGAAGGGAAGCAAGAGATAAGAGTATTAGGGAGGGTATACATAATAAAATATTTGGGAAGAATAGTTTGTGCCAAGGGTGTGAGGCAGGAGGGTTCTTGGTGTTCTAGAAAAATATCAAAAGGCAAGTGTAACAGAGCCAAATGAATGAAGGGCAGCCAGATAGACATAAAGACAAAGAGGTGGCCCTGGTCAGATCATGTTGGGTCTTGTAAGCAATGGTATAAGGTATTGTCTAGACATAGATTCTTTTCTCCCAGTATCTGACTTCTTTCTTCCCCTCCCTCAGGGAGCAGCCTCTGGTCAAGGCTGGTTTCTGAAGGATAGGCACATTCCCAGTATTGAGTCATGGAGTACAGGTGAAGAAGCAATGCTGAAAGTAATGTAGGCATCACTCTTAATCAATATCACTGTAAACACTATATAGCAATTTGAATAATTAACTTGCCTGATTATAAAACTGCTTGCTTCACTGTCCCGAGGCATGGATTCCTCATCACCTGCCACCATCAGTGCCTCTCGTTAAGTTCTAATAAACCGTCTTTCCCTGCTGGACCTCTAGTTGATTTATTTGGAAGAGGAAGACGTTATACACAAGCCCTCTCAGATTTGGGGTTATAAATGCAACCAAACTACAAGCATCAAGTACTCACCAGAGTACCTATGCTGTTGTAGGCAATTTCTAGCACAGAAGGTTGTAATGATCAGCCCCTACTTCCTGGAAGCTTCGCAAAAAAGCTCCTTCAGAGTTCTACAAGTAATAGCCAGGAATAGCTGTGTAGGCTCTGACAGTGCTTTAGAAATCTTTGTAGAGCCCCTTATTCGTTTTAATCACAGCTATAAGTGAACACATTAAATTAAGCAAGCTCAAAGAGCTTCACAATTTATCCCAAGCAAAAGTAGTTCCAATTCACTAAGATCTTTCAGTCTTCAAGACAAGAGGGTGGTCTTCTTTGTTGCAAGATAATGAAAATCTTTCTCCTAAGTCCACAAGTGTGATATAAAGGTTGTGGTCGTGGAAGCTTTTCTACCAAAAACTATAATATCTGAGAGAGAAAGGATGATGGTTGTAACCTAGTGGCTAACTGTTTCATTAATTCCTTGCCTAATATTCTTTTTTTTTGGCAAAAGGAAGTAATTTTAACTCCAATAGTACATCTTATTTGTCTGAAGTTTAAAATAACCACCAGATTATCTGTCTTTTATGAGAAAAAAATTCATTTCATGTAAATTTTCATTTTTACCCCAAATGTATACATTTATAAAATTTCTAGGTCACATTTTAATTTAGTTTCTTATTGCACTTAGACACCTGTTGATGGAAAAATTGATATCTTGTTATTTCCTCTGCTTTTTATTTTTAACCCAATTGAAAGACAAATATAGTAAGTACAACTTGTTTTTAATTTAGATCAACAGTGAGTAATTACAACTCTTTATTTTTAATTTTGCTGATGATATTTTCCAGGGGGAACAAAAATGCTTCATCTGTGACTCCAGATTTCCGTATGACCCATATACCCAACCCCACAGCCATACCATTGAGAATGTCATTGCAGGTTTTGAGCCAGATAGAGAAAAGAAGTGGTGGCAATCCGAAAATGGTATGATTTAAATTCCTTGACAATTTTTAATTTCTTTCTGTTTTAATAAGGCATCTTCTTCTCTATATGGTTTTAATTATGTCACAGCAAGGTATTAAAATTAGAATTGAATAGTATCCTCCAAGAACATTGAACCCTATATAAAACAAAATTTATTTTCATTTTGATAAAAAATATTTTTCTTTATAGGAAAATCAAAATTTATTTTAAACACATAACTCAGAATGTTCCACTCTTTCCATGTGGAGGAAGAAAATATCCCCGCATCCTTTTTGTTCTTTGTAAAAATAAAGTTTATGAAGTGTTGGTAAATTAAACCCAACATAAAACACACTGATGACAAGTGAATGCCAGGAGTAATAATGCCAGGAGACGTCAAAGAGCTAGCACTGAGTGCTTGGTCCTTTGTCAAAAACTTAAAAGGTAGAAAGAACCTTTTGCTTCTTACTGCAAGCCAAAGATTTTAATACATGATTTGAATTGAAAGGATAGTTGGCTTTCCTTTCAACTAAAGTCCTTTCCTTCCTGGATGCATATACCTTTCCCTGTTCATGAACAGTTGTGATATTGGACTTGCATTGGCCCTCACCATCTGTATTTTCTAGATGCCTATTTTAAGTGTGGATCTGATAAAGGGTCTTTGTGTCTACCCCAGCTGTGAACCTTATATGCCCAAATGCACTTCCATCCGGGCTGGACCCTTCTTCAACATTGGTCTGGAACTCTCTAGTTTTCCTTAACTTCCACAGAATTATTCCATTCACCACATCTCTACATGTCACACTTTGGGCTAAAAGTCTCCTATTCTCTTCAGACTCCTAACATATTTCTTTTAGGGAATCCTAGACCATGAAAAGGGAGTGTGAAAATCATCATCACATTTAGGATAGTTTCGGGCAGGCATAATGTGAGACTTTTTTTTAATGTCATCCACTTGACAAATGATCGATTGGTAGCTATTAAATGTCACTTCCTTTTGAATCCTTGATTGATCTCTAGTTGGACTCTCCATAATGAAGGATTTGAGTCCAAGTTGGCTTTTACTGCAGACACCTGTCCTCATGATGAATGGTGCCATTTTTGCTTCACAGCTTTCTTGACTATCCATCTCCAGCTTTTGTTTCACACCTCCTCACAAAGGGACTGTTCCTCTGTTAGCTCCTTAGCCAAGCAATTTAGAGAGGGGAAAGCAGATCTCCCTTCTAGAAAGGACTGGAACCTGCATTCTCAGCAGCAAACATATCCCTGAACCTTTCACCTTTCATCTTTCACCTGGTTCAGTCTGGAATTCACTGCAGTCCAGCCCCTATTGTCTGGAGCCACACAGTTCAACAGGATCACTTAAAATGTTGCTAATCCAAAAGGAGATGGACTGTAAGGGTAAAACATCTCAGATTTCTAAGACTTAGTCTCAAAAAAATGTATAGGAAAGAATTGCTAATGTTTAAGATATCGGTTACATGTTGAAATGATAACATTTCCATATATTGGCTTATGTATATTATTAAAAATAAATTCATCTCTATGCCTTTTTACTTTTCAAATGTGGCTGCTAGAACATTTAAAATGACATACATGACTCAGATTCTCTTTCTGTCGGGCAGTGCTGCTCTAGAGATCCAAGCTTTGATTGTGTCCAGGTTGGGGCTCGTACTCCACGTCTGTGCTAGAGATGGGTCCTAGCTAACTAGCTCAGTGCAAAACCCTGACCAGATACTTCTGTCATCTCCTCAGCCATAAGGGATCCCACAGATCCCCACTCTAAAGGAAATATTCCAAGCCATGTTGTGACAATATCCCAAGCTATGCCAAGTGACTGTTAACAGCTGTTGGAAGAAGAGGATGTGTTGATAGTTACTGCGCTCTCACTTACTGGCTCATATTTATGTGTAGTCAAGATTTGAGTACAAAGAAATGAACCTTCTCTTTCCACCTATGGAAACACCCAGAATTCCCTTGTAAGTAGGTAATGCTGCCACACAGTGGCCGTGTGTCACCATCAAAATGTGGATGCAGACACAGTCAGGGTAAAACATAAAAAGCTGCTCTCCCATAGGTCTCTGGGGCTTGGAGTGGCACGGGATACCACCCCCAAAGACCGGGAAAGAGTATTGGCCACCATCCATGCAACTTCAAAGCGATCTTATTCCAGACATGCCACAGTGGGGAATTAGCATGATAAGCAGAGGTCTTTCAAAATTACTGATTTTCTTCTTTCTGGATTTTTCTTCAGGTCTTGATCATGTCAGCATCAGATTGGACCTAGAGGCATTATTTCAGTTCAGTCATCTAATCTTGACATTTAAGGTACAGAGACCTAGGCCTGCTGCTCTCTATCTAGTCCCAAAGGACTCTGCATTTACCTAGAATTTCATTTTGTTGCTTTCTTGCAGTGAAAAAAAGCAGAATAAATTCAGACTTAAGTTTTGTCTTCTGGGTTTTTGCTCTTGGATGAAGAAAAAAAATTACTCCTTGTTGCGCAATGACTTTATGGTTAATTTTTTTTTTAAATCCTAGAAGACAGAGAAAAGGAAATCTCCAAGTACTGGGGTGATAGGGACCATGAGAATTAGAAAGATAATTTTCAGGAGAAAAGGGCAGGAATTGAAATTATCTAGGTAAATATGGAAAGATTGTAATCAAGAGGGGAAGAAATTATACCCCACAACTCTATGATAAATAATTACCCAAAAAAAGAGTGGAAGAAGAATTAAAGAATCTGTACTAAGTTTAGTCAGAGGCCAGAGCAAACCATTATGCATAGTCTTTAATCATTTGTTAAACTCTTAATTTTGATGTCAGGCCTGGTGCTAGTTGTGGTAATAAAAAAATGAATATAAAATAAGAAATGAAAAAATACCAGTTTTTGCTCCCAAAGAACTCAAAATCTAGTTATGGATGCAAACATATAAATAGAAAATTATAAAGTGATAAGTATGGAAATAGAGGCAAGATTTAGAATGCTAGCCGGGCTCGGTGGCTCAGCCTGTAATCCCATGCCTTTGGGAGGCTGAGGTGAGTGGATTGCCTGAACCCGCAGGTTCAAGACCCACCTGGGCAACTTGGCGAGACCTCATCTCTACAATAAATCAAAAACTAGCCGGGCGTGGTAGCACATGCCTGTAGTTCCAGCTACTTGAAAGGCTGAGGCGGAAGGATTGCCGAAGTCCAGCAGGTCGAGGCTGCGGTGGCCGGGAATGGCCACTGCACTCCAGCCTGGGCGACAGAGTGAGACGCCCAACTCAAAAAAAAATAGAATGCTGGGGAATTTAGTTTAAGAGGCTAAGTCTGTTCTGGGGAGTCAGGATAAACTTCATGGATAGATTTTGAAGGACATACAAGAGTTTGTCAGAGGAAAGGTATTCTAGGCAAAGAGAACTACAACAATTAGCTATAAATTATTAAATTGCATTAGCTTTTTCATTTATTTTCCCTCTTTCTTCAATTAATAATTAGCACAGCCATAAACATTTTTAAAATGTAATTAGATTAGGAGGGCAAAGTATGTACTCATAAATGCTTGCCCACTTATGTGGAAAGATATCTTAGTATGTAGTAGATTTTTAAAGAAACACATAAAGTTTTAAAAAATAAAATTGGAAAATACAAATATTCAACCTGAAGTGGATAATAAAATCTGCCTTTGTGAAACATTTCAATTTCTACTCATTTTTTTTTCATAGACTTTTCGGCCTGCTGCAATGTTAGTTGAACGGTCCACAGACTATGGACATACCTGGAAAGTGTTCAAGTATTTTGCAAAAGATTGTGCCGCTTCCTTTCCTGACATCATGTCTGGCCAGGCCCAGCGAGTGGGAGACCTTGTTTGTGACTCCAGATATTCGAATATTGAGCCCTCAACTGGTGGTGAGGTAGCATTTCCTTCCTTGTATTTTTTTATTAAACTTTTGGAAAATGTGATGAGCCTAAATGGAAAACAAATTAAGTAGTAATTACTAAAATGTATCTTGAGCTGTTGGGATTTTAAAAATGAATGTGACTAAATTGAAATGAGTCCTGAATAATACATAATAAATGCATTATCAGAAGCAATCCTGCATAAGAGTGCCCAGCTGAAAGTGAATGGGGATTAAAATTTAAACCAGGTACCATGACCCGGTGCACCCAGAAGAAGGAATGTCTGTTTCTAACCCTTGCTAGCTAGCAGCAGCCCTGGATAAGCTGCCTCATCTCCATGCTCTCTAAGCCACCACCCAGGTGGGATCTACCAGGAACATCCCTCTGAACAAAGCGGGGGACTGGCAGAGGGTTAGGGAGGGAGTAAGGTTGAAGGGTACCATTTTATCAGGTAGCAGAAAGAACAGGTGGCAGAAGACAACTCCAGAATTCCCTTCCAGATCCAAATTGATCATGACTGGCTGAATTGTCCATCACTTCATTCCATCCCAGCTCAGGTGTCCTCTTTACCGCTGGTATCACCATTTCTGTCTAGATGGACCACTTGTGCAAAAAGTACTCAGAGTTTTCCTTTTCTCTGTGTCTGATGTCTGAAATGACTGATGAATGACTTTTATTCATTTTTGGTCTTGGTACTTTTATTCATCCCAAAAGATAATCTGTATCCTTTACCAGCTAGGAAGCAAAGTCTCAACCTTCCTATAAGATCAGGATCTCTTCTTTAAAAGTAAATTTGACAGTTACATTTTACAGTAACATACTACAAATATACCTACATTTGTTTTATAGGTTGTTTTAAAAGTTTTGGATCCCAGTTTTGAAATAAAAAACCCTTACAGCCCCCACATACAAGGTATGAATTCTTTTATATTTTTCACATCAACTCCTTTTTAAAAATTGCATGTTTAGCATATTCTTTGTAATTGCATTTCTATAGTACATTATGGGAGGTATCAGTCGAGGAGGGTGCCTTGAACTGATACACCTTAAATGCGTTTTGATTCATTGATTTCCTTTTTTAGACCTTGTGACATTAACAAACCTGAGGATAAACTTTACCAAACTCCACACCCTTGGAGATACTTTGCTTGGAAGAAGGCAAAATGATTCCCTTGATAAATACTACTATGCTCTGTACGAGATGGTGGTTCGGGGAAGCTGTTTTTGCAATGGCCACGCTAGTGAATGTGGCCCTACACAGAAAGTACGGGGAGATGTTTTCAGCCCTCCCAGAATGGTGAGTTGTGGATCCCAAAGAGGAGCTGGCTCTCCTACCTGCATTTCACTGCCATAGTGCTGAATGTAGATCAGACACTCGACATGGAAATCAACAAGTCAACATGCTGGTTTTGTGTTGGAGCAGGTATTATTCAGCCTAGCCTGACAAGCCACCCAGGGTCTTCCAGTTTCTCCAGCCCAAAGTGCTTATGGATTCTGCCACATATGGACACCAGTGAACTGATGAACAGGGAATTTCTAATGTATGATTTCAAGACAGTCCACTTTGCCCTCTTTTTATTTTTATTTTTAGAAAATGGAGATTTGGTGGGGAAAAACCGTAATTTCACATTTGTTATCTCACAAAAATGTATCAAAGGATCCTGCAGCAAGACCCCGTAGTCAATGCTAGGGTGTTTCGGCAATATCCGATATTATGCAAACAGTCAATCCAAGTAACCTTCTTCTACTAGGAAAAACTGTGTCTTAGTACTGCAGAACTCTTGCATTTTAGGGACCAGTCTTAAAAGATAATAGAAGAATTATATTTGGATGCAAGGTCAACTAAATATATTTAAACTATGTATTAGGCATAATCACACAAGGCTTAATGTTAAGGCATAGTCTCTTCCCACTCAGCTACCCCCAGGTTTCACTGGAAATAGAGCTTCTCTCTTTGCATGTGGGCCCTTTAGAGCATTTTGTGAAAAATCCAAGAGTCTCATATATCTCTGTTTCACTTCTTTCCCTTTTCTAACTTCATTTTCCCTTATGCTCCCTTACCACCCCATAATCCCCTGTCCCCACACAAGCCCCCTCCTCATTTTGTCCCTTATTTTACTGCTGGCTGCACTATGCTGCTCTGAAACTAGAATTCAGAAAAGCCACAAAAAAAAAAAAAGGATTATAAATTTTCATTGAACTTCTAAACTTTTGAAAAATGTGAAGGATAGTTAAGCAAGTAATGGAAGATAGTCGAGGTTGGTGTCATAACTAGCATATGGAAGACTACGAATCAGAGAGTCCCATGGCCTGGTATTGAATTTTCCATTTAAAGAACCCTAATTGTCCTCAAAGATAAGCCCTCTTTTAATGCTCTGTTTATTTATTGTACAATGCAGGTTCATGGTCATTGTGTCTGTCAGCACAATACAGATGGTCTGAACTGTGAGAGATGCAAGGACTTCTTCCAGGATGCCCCTTGGAGGCCAGCTGCAGGCCTCCAGGATAACGCTTGCAGATGTGGGTGAACATATGTTTTCCGCATAGTCTGAGTATGCTCCGTGTTTCCTTATTTTGAAGAACACAGTTCATTTCTGTGGGGATGCAGACACCAAAGTGGTAAAGCTGTGGTTCCCACCTCCAATTGTGTGATACTCAAATGTCCCCAATTATCTCACATGGAAGAATCGCCAATATCTCAAATCCTCACACCACAGATTAATTTTTTAAATGAAATAGTATGCATGTTGTATGACATCCTTCCAATGCAAGGACAGATATTGTAATGGCAATATAAGTGGGGACAAGGCATTTGGTGAACAGTAGATTGGGTGCAGAGATCCTTACTATCTTCCTGAATAATCACACATTCCATGAACATGACCTTAAATCCATCTGTGGGATAATAGGAGAAATGAGCTCCAGGATTGAGTTTGACAGGCTATTGTATTTTTTTAATAAAATATTTCCAGGCTAATAAGATGCTGCTTTTGTTTTGGGTAACATGTTTGCTTCATTTGAATTTTGATGAACTTCCAAACAAACTTGTTATTCCATTTATTTTCCCGGACTTGGAAAACATAGAATTTGAGATTTGAGGGAATTAAAGGTCTCTAGAAGAGCTCTCATGAAAAACCCCATCCATGAGAGTCATGGCTTATACAGTACACAAGACCCAGCAAAACACGGCCTGAACTTAATGTGTTTACAGGAGAGAGACCAACAAGCCTAACAGCATAGACATTACCATGAAAACAGATTTCTCCCAACAGACTGTCTTTTCCTCCAGTCCTCTGGCTGAGCCCCAGATGAGATGAGAAACTGACTTGCAGCCCTTCCCTCTCTGCTCCTATGGAAGGAAGGAGGCTGGCCAGGCTCAGCTCTGACATCTCTGAGAATCCCAGTGCCTGCAGACCACTTCATGTAAAAGAGTCCATTTTAGGAAGCCTTAAGTCAGTGGAAGTATTCTTTCCTGAACACCAGCACAAATATTGCACTCTAGATCGCCTAAATTGCTTCTTTTTGTTCAGCTGGTTTTTTTAAAAATTACATATCAAACGCATCAAGAATACATTTTACAGAAGGCATATGAGCAGAATCAGAGTACTAGAAGAATCCTTTGAAGGCGCCTGTTTTGACCCTTTGCATATTTGATGCATCTATACAAAGATGGAGTGGTGAGAGGATAAGGGGTGTCAGGATCAGTGAGTGGAACGGTCAATCCAAGGCTTTGAGCAGACTTTAGTAACCCTCCTCTCCTCTCTCAGTGTGTAGCTGTAACAGCCACTCTGACCGCTGTCACTTCAACATGACCACGTACCTGGCGAGCGGCGGCCTCAGCGGAGGCGTATGCGATGACTGCCAGCACAACACCGATGGGCAGCACTGCCACCGCTGCAGATCACTCTTCTACAGGGACCCCCTCAAAGCCATCTCGGATCCCTATGCGTGCATTCGTGAGTACCCACCTCTGCCCTGATCCCTTCTACCGAGCGAGGTCCAACTTGGTCTCACTTGGGCTGCAGGTCCCCACTGCTTAACAGCACCTCCAAGCTACCCTGTTTTGGAAAGTGGAGGATTGCAAAAACACTTCAGCTTGAAGAGCTCTTCCTTCTGCAAACAAGTTAATGCAGTCTGCGTCTGTTTTGGTAGTCTTGCGGCACTGGCTGACACTGGCGAATCAAGAAATTATTCTGGATTTCACAGGGGGTGGGAGTTGGGAAGGGGTAGGCGTCAGAAGACACTGCAGGGTCAGGCTCGGTGGCTCAGCCTGTAATACCAGCACTTTGAGAGGCCACGGCGAGTGGATTGTATGAGCCCGCGGGTTCGAGATCAACCCAGGCAACCTGGGGAGAGCTCGTCTCTACAATAAAATATAATAAAATAATTAGTCAGGCGTGGTAGTGTGCACCTGTAATTCTGGCTACGTGGAAGGCTGACACAGAAGGATGGTCAGAGCCCTGCATGTCGAAACTGGGGTGGTGGTGAGTGTGCCACTGCACTCCAGCTTGGGCGATGGAGTGAGACTCCAACTCAAAAAAAGAAAAAAGAAGACACTGCAGACACATTGAGTCTTCAGTGAAGTCAGCTCCAAAGTAACCAAAGGAGTGACATTGGCTCAAATATTTGACTATCTGTAGTCAATTCAATTTTGCTGTTAAGATGCATGAGCTAACATATTATTACCTTGCTTTAAAAAAAAAACTTTAAATATCTTCTTCTGGCTGGGCACGTGGCTCATGCCTGTAATATCAGCACTTTGGGAGGCTGAGGTGGGAGGATTACTTGAGCCCAGAATTTCGAGACCAGCCTGGGTAACATAGGGAGACCTCATCACAAATAAGTTAAGTAAATAAATAATAAAATATTTTCTTTCTTTCTTTTCCTTTTTTTTTTTTGAGTCGGGGTCTCACTGTGTCACCCAGGCTGGAGTGCAATGTCATGATCATAGCTCACCGCAGCCTTGAACTGGACTCAGGTGATCTCTCTGCTTCTGCTTCAGGAGTAACTGGAACTATGAAAGCATGCCACCATACCTGGCTAACTTTTTCTATTTTTTGTAGAGATGAGGTCTCGCTCTGTTGGCTAGGCTGGAAACATCTTTAATCTCAACTTTTGAAAATGAAATATTTCAAGCATTTACAAACAATAGGGAATAATATAATAAACATCCTTATACTGACCACCAGCTTTGTCAAAACTTAATATCTTAACCCATCACCTTCAGGACTTTCTTTAATAAAACATGGTAGGCACTATTGGTGAAGTCCTAGGTACACATCTGCCCCATTTGCAACTTCTTCATATATTTGGTATTTATTATTACCATTCTTGTTTGTACATTTTCATGTGTGTTTTTATCCATAAACAATATATGTCAACATGTTTTTAAACTTTACATAAACAATATCATGTTATATGTCTCCTTTAGCACCTTGGGTATTTCATTCAAACATTTTATTTTTGAGATTTTTCCATGTCAGGCAGCCCTAGTTCTTCCATTTTTGTTTCTGTATACAATTCCTTCCTATAAATATGACAAATTTTATTTGTCCATTTTTCTTCTGATGCTGCAATAAACATTCTTGTGTATGTGACCTAGTGCAAAGACTGTCCCTAAGAGACATACCGAGGAGTGGAATTTCTGGGTCATGGGGTATGGACTTCTTCAAATTGATTGATTAGCTAATACTGAATTATCCCCCAAGTGGGTGTGCCAATTACCACTCACACCAGGAGTATATGACAGTTCCTGTGGCTCTATAATTTTGTCAACCCTTGATTTTGTCAAACATCAGTTTTTGCTAATCATGGTTTCGTCACACTTTCATTTTTGCTAATAAAATGGTATCTCATTGTTTAAATTTGCATTTCCCTGCAGGACTGGAAGTAGAATGAGGCAAGGAGAGCACTTAGGTCCCAAACTTCAAAGAAGCACTCACTGTCAAGGTCAGGGAAGTACAGGGCTGACACTTGCTGCTTGCACAAACGTAGGGTGAGCACCTCCATAACTTTTGCACCCTAGTCACCTTGCTTGCTTACTCTAGTCCCATCACTGCTGCTCATTATCATCTAGATAAATACTCCAACCTGATCTCAAATACCCAGTGTCAGTAACTGGGTCTGAGATCTTCCTCTACGTGCAAACTAACAAGTCAGCCTGCTATGGTTTCATGAATGCTGACAAAAGACATGAAACTCCTGGGCCAAAAACAAACAACTTTATAACTCATGGCACAGCAAGCAACAGGATCATAGTATCAACCTGAGTTCCCGTGTCCCCAAGTCCCACAGAGGTGACACAAAGGATATCATGTGGATACTGCTTACCTAGTGAGTGTATGCCATACTAATGAACACTGAGCTTGGAAGACTCCTTGCTTTATTGCAAGTGGAGGCAAGCCTGATATTTTTCCAGGAGAAGATGTCCTGGTTAAAGAGCAGGCAGAGCCTTGCACAGTTTACATGCTCAGCAAGAACATTCAGAATGCCAGCAGCCATGGAGGACTGCCTCTCCTGATACCCGGGGATCTTGCTGCTCCAACTGTATCATTAGCTAATGCTAAAGTGGGAGCGGGAGGACTGCTGAAAACTGTGACTCAAACTTCATATAACCATAATACATCAAATGAAGCCTTACACAAAAGTGACTCAGCAGCCACCTGAATTCAGTGTCCTGGATTTCAAACTTTAAATGAACACACTGTAGAAAAGGTATCAATGAAGTGTTCTGAGTTCAGATTACTCAGTAGGCAGTTTAAGCGCATCAAATTTACCTTATATGACCAGCTCAGAATTAATGTAAAAAAATGGATTCTCAGAAAATATATTTCGTCAGAATAATTTCCTAAGTGTCCTACAGAATCTGTAAGCTCACGCGCGCGCGCGCACACACACACACACACACACACACACACACACACACATCTTTTATTATTTTAAAAGCTATATGTTTATAAAAGAAGATTAAATTGCTCTCTTGGGTCGAATCAGAGAAATACAATGTTTTTAAACAGACAATCTAGGATTTTGGAAAGGGATTTGGCAAATAAGCTACATATTTTGAACACATCAACCAAAACCTTGTTCCTTAAGAATCACTTAGTATTAATGTGATAGTGCTTTTGAAAGAAACCAAGCAAAAAAAGCTGGTACTACTGATAACGTTGGGTGGTGTGGGGTATAGTTGTTTTGACTTTTTACTTTGCTTTGTCAAAAGAAAGAATTTTAAAGTGAGTCTGAGTAGGAGTTTTGAAGTAGAATTTATTAGGAAGAAAAGACACAATCTGAGAGAATGTAAATGTGGGTGTCTTAAGAAAAAGGACACAGAGAGTTGTTAATTGAGTATATATTTTAAGATGATGGTTAAGTAATTTTTTTAAGTAAAAATTTTGTGTGTTATGTGGGGAATGTGATGGATTATAATTTATTGATCACAAGTTTTTATTTTTATTGTTTTTTAAGTTGATGTTTAAGTTTACTTGTGTCATGTGAAATTGTTGAAATAATGGTAAAAACTGTTGTTTTACAGTTCAATTAATTTATTTTTAGAAACATCATGCTTTATTGTCTCTGGTAATGTGTGTGTGTGTGTGTGTGTGTGTGTGTGTGTGTGTGTGTGTGTGTGTGTGTCTTGTTTATGGTTTTGGTAGGGGAGTTGGGCATCAGTTGCCCTGTATTTTGGGTCTGGGTATAGGGGGACCTAGTCAAGTGTAGTAATGTTTTAGAAAGTTGTGGTTTGATAAGTCAGTGCCCTGGTGTCTATTCAACATGTTTTTCAATTACCTAAGTTATGTCTGTCTGTAAGAAATCCATCTATTTATGTCTGAGTTATATTAACTACCCTGTCTCACTAGCATGCAATTAAGAAGTCATTCTTTGTAAATAAGGGACTTTTCCATAAAAGGTAGATGAGAAGTTTGTAACAAACTGTCATGAGATGCCCAAGTTTCTCCCAGTTACCCTGAACACAAGTTTAAGTGTGTGTATTCAGATGATGGGTATTAAGAAGATCAATTAGCATTCTCATATAAAGTTTATCTGAATTGTCCTTGTTTGAACCTAAATATTTACATAAACAGATTCCAGGCATCAAAACTGACTAATTTGAAGTTTTCCACAATTAAGACACGGTTAAATTTGATACAGAAAAACAAAAATTTGGTAGACTCAACTACTGATCATAAAAGTTTGCTGGAATGAACTTATATGACACCAAGAGGATTTATTAGACTTATAAATGCCATGACATAGGGTAATTTCAAAGTAGAGTTACTATCCATCCTCCCACATCCCTTTCCCAAAAGATACTTCTGTGCATAATTAAATTATACTCTGGAACTCAATACTGATTCTTTGGAGTGTCTCCCAAATAAATCTGAGCTTTTTCCTTTTGACTACTTCTAAAATGAATCCAGTTTGTTCTTTTCTTTCTAGAAGCAACTGGCTTTAATTAGAAGAAAATTGTCATTCTTCCAAACTAAATAGAACCCAATGCTGTTTTTTCATAGTAAGATTTTTATCACCAGTCACAAAACAGTAACACACAACTGAAACTTGAAAGATTCTGTCAGACAATGAAGCCCATTTGCTTCAATGACACCAAACAACTGGTTTGACTAGATTTTTTTTCCACTAAACTCACTAGTCTAAATAGTTATTATGCAACCATAGTTTGAGACCTGAGGGTTTGCTTTTAGAAACCCAAGGCCAATGTAAACATGTGAACATGATTATGCCTTAAAATCAGGATATTCATTTTTTTGAATGTTTATTACAATTCCTTAAAAGTGGAATCCTTTGAAAATATATCACAGAGATGCAAGAGATCTTAGCAGTCATCTAATGTCCACCAGCACGTTTGTCCTCCATACCAAAGTCACAACAAATGCTGTTTCTGCACCTACCTGGATGTCTTCAATGATGAGGAGGTTATGCTATCCTGGGCAGCCCTGACTGTTAGAGAGCTCTTCCTTATATTCAATCGAGTGCTACCTTTTGTAACTTCTACCCTAGTCCTTGTTTCGCCCTTTGGAATGATTCATACCATAAGCATCCTTTTGCATAGGATACTACTTCCTCAAGTTGTTCAAAAGTCTATGAAGAATCAGAAAAAGTTGCTATTCTTGTTCCTTTGCTACTGGTGACTGTTTATCCTATTTTCTAGAACTTCTTCATCCGAATGTTTGCCCCACCAGCAGATTTCCAAAAACAAAACAAAGCTATGAGCACTTCTTACCATTCCCTCCCTTCTTTCTTGTAGGTATTCCTTCTGGGAAGAATAAAAAAGAATGCCACTTTTCCTTGTGACATATTTTTATATGATCGAGAAGGACAGACTTAGCTTTTAACCATGTTCAGAGATTTAGTGGACATTTTATGTGATTTCTTTTTCTTTCTCATGTCCCTTGCAATGGCATATAAATCATTACAACCTCCCACTCTTATGTGTCTCTTGACATTATTTCCACCTTCGTAATCTTTTTCTTTTCTTCAATGTATTTTTTATGAAATTCACATAACATAATAATTAACTATTTTAAAATGAACAACGTTGTGTAACTACCACATCTGCCTCGTTCCAAAACATTTTCATCACCCCAAAAAGAATCGATCTTATTCTTAACATCCAGTTTTCACAATAGCAGTCTTCCTCTGGTCCTCTGATATTCAAATTATTTTAAAGTCTTTTTAAACTATGTATGTGTGTGGAATTATTCAACATTTTCCAGGGTCCAGAGATCTCAGACACATTTCTGAACAGCCCTTGCCCATTGGTCTAATTTTTTTTTTTTTTTCTTTTTTTTTTTTTGAGTCAGAGTCTCACTCTTGCCCAGGCTGGAGTACAGTGATACACTCACAGCCACCACAGCCTCTACCTGCTGGGCTTAGGCAATCCTTTTGCCTCAACCTTCCAAGTAGCTGGAACTACAGGACTGCACCATCACGCCCTGCTAATTTTTTGATATATTGTAGACACGAGGTCTCGCCATGTTGCCCAGGCTGGTCTCGAGACTGTGAACTCAGGCAATCCCTCTCGCCTCCACCTCTCAAAGTGCTTGGATTACAGGTGTGAGCCACGGTGCCCACCAGTCTGATAATTTAAACATATTTATTTATTTAAGCAAAGTAAGATAGTTATGGTGTGGGTAAAATGCTGTGCTTATATTTCAGGTTTTCCATAATTTGCAACTAAGACAATGCATGTCTGTGTCCCCAGCTTGTGAATGTGACCCTGACGGGACCATATCTGGTGGCATCTGTGTGAGCCACTCTGACCCCTCCGTGGGGTCTGTGGCCGGCCAGTGCCTGTGTAAGGAAAACGTGGAAGGAGCCAAGTGTGACCGGTGCAAGCCCAACCACTACGGACTGAGCGCCACTGATCTCCTAGGCTGCCAGCGTAAGTCCACGGGGGCGGGGCTTGAGGCTGTCTCTCTCAGCCCTAAATTTTGATAATTATGAATACTTGAGAGTCCTGTCAGCCTCTGGGCTTTCAAAAGTGATACAGTACCTCCTGCGAATTCTAGGAAGTTAGTGGACTTTGTTCCGTGGTATGCTGAGTCGTGTATCTTAAAAGACCGGCAGGGGGCGATCACATTTTCCCCACTGGAACAAGCACCCGCAGGCAATGCCAAGAAATTTTTAAGGACGAGTTGCAAAACTTTAGGAAACCGACCTCCACTAGGACTCTACGTGCAGATTTATTATATTGCATTCTATATTTCTGCAAGATTGATGTCCTCTTAGGCAATTTCAAGTGTTTTTGTTGTTGTTTTTGTTTTAAATAACTTCCCCTCTTTCTTCTCGCACCCCTGCTAGTAGTATTGCTCCATATGTTGTCTGACAAAAGAAAAAAATTAAAAAGCCAAGGGAGGGGAGGGGTGAAGGAGAAACAGGAAAAAAAAAAAAAACCCTCAGCCGTTTCCTGAGGCCAAATGAGCAGACGCTAGGATATAGGATGACAGGAGTTTAGAACTGCAGATTCCTCAGGAAATCTGGGTAAATAATTTCCATTTGGTCTAAGCATGCTCCATATTTTTGCCCATATAGGGAACTGTGGATTTTTGCACGTTTAGAGAGTATCAGGCTGCACCTTCCTGTAATAAAATGCTCTTCTTGGGGTTTGATGACAAATTAAATGTTATGACTATGAATTACATAGTCAAACCAATTTCTATCACACCTTTCTGCACTCCATACATTGCCCTGATTCACTGACTAACCTGATGTCCTCCAAAACAGGCCAAACATTATTTTGCTGTTGTGTGTGTGTGTTTGTAACAACTTTATTGAAATATAATTTGCATACCATACAACTCATTCTTTAAAGTGTATGGTTCAATGATTTTTAGTACATTGGAAGTTGTGTAACTATCGCCACAATCAATTTTAGAATATTTTAACCACCCCCCAAAAAAGAAACCTCATTTTTGGGCATAGACCCAAAAGAATTGAAAGCAGGTTCTTAAAGAGATTTGTATGCTGGTGTCCATAGCAGCACTAGTCATAGTAGCCAAAAGGTGGAAGCAATCTAAACATCCATTGATGTGTGAGTGAATAAGCAAAATGTGTTACATACATAGAAGAGAATATTATTCAGCCTTATAAAGGCAGAAAACTTAGGCTGGGCATGGTGGCATATGCTTGTAATCTTAGTATTTCGGGAGGCCAGGGTAGGAGGATTGTTTGTGCTCAGGAGTTTGAGACCAGCCTGGGCAACATAGCAAGACCTCATCTCTACAAATAATCAGTAGAGAGAAAGAAAGAAAGAGAGGAAGGAAGGAAGGAAGGAAGGAAGGAAGGAAGGAAGGAAGGAAGGAAGGAGGAAGGAAGGAAGGGGGGAGGGAGAGAGGGAGGGAAGGAAGGAAGGAAGGAAGGAAGGAAGGAAGGAAGGAAGGAAGGAAGGAAGGAAGGAAGGAAGGCAAAAGAAAAGAAAGGCTAACACATGCTTCACCATGAATATACCTTAAGGACATACATTATGCTAAGTGAAAGAAGTCAATCACAAAAAGACAAAAGACTAAATGATTGCACTTAAGTACATAGTTGTCAAAATCATAGAGATAAAGTAAAAATGGTGGTTGCCAGGGCTTGCAGGGGAGGGGAAATGGGAAGTTATTGTTTAATAGGCATAGGGTTTCAGTTTTGCAAAATGAAACGAGTTCTGAAGATTACTTGCACAATAATATGAATGTACTTAACACAAATGACCTATACACATACTTGAAATTGGTGAGGCTGGCAAATTTTATGTTATGAGCATTTTGCAAAAATTAAAAAAGGAAACCACATACCCTTTAACTACCATCCTCCCATACCTCATTCTCCCTGACCCTAGGCAAACACCATTTGCTATTATGGACACTGCCTACACATGGAATCATAATTTGAGGTCTTTTGCAACTGACTTCTTTCAGTTAGCATGACGTTTTCTTTTTTTTTGAGTTGGAGTCTCACTCTGTCACCCAGACTGGAGTGCAGTGGCCA